TTGGGATTTTTAAGGAGTGATCTGTATTTGTAGAAGGGTTGTATTCAACCAAAGAAAATCTTAAGCGACTCAAATTGTACCTGCCCTTCTGTTGGTGATGAGGAAAACAAATCTGATTGTTAAATCAGCCACAGGTTCTCTTTATTAACTGTACTGTTTTTAGAGCACACCATGTCAAGTTATGTTTCTTTCTTTTCGCTGACTCACTTCTTACTGTCCATTCTCACTTCTCTTGTCTGTTCATGGTGTGTCCACCGACTACGGTACCTGAGTGGCATCTCGTGAGATGATTTAAAATGCTAGTTTTTGCAGAATACCGTATTACATAATTTTAACATAATTATTAAACCAAGCATAATTACATTCTCTGTTCACAATCAAAGCCTCAAGCGATAAACAAAAAGTGAATGGAGCATATTGTGCAGACAGGTTAGGTGACCTTTTTAGATGATTTAGCATGTTGCTAAAATGATGTGTGTACTGCTGTTTGAAAAGTTTGGGCTTGACTTATTGATCTGATTTGGCAGAACACAGCTGCACTACTTTGACACATTGTAAATCAGTGCGGAGCCAACTCTGAGTAAATGTACGGAAACAGCGGAACATGCTTAATTAATTCTGGATGGCTAATGCTTTTCTCCTTAAGAATTTAACAATGGTAATTTTGGTCAGACAATGGCATTGTTCAGTTAAGTGGGAGACTGTGGCCCTAGTGGTGTGAAGAGCCACTGAATGTCATGTTTGTAGGGTTGTTACAAGTTTAAGTATTGGCTTCATATCATGGTGCACAGACACAAGGACACTGAGAAAAATGTTGTAAACTGAGTTGCAATGAAATAATTAAGCGCAGAGGGATTGTACATGTGCTCCCTGGGTCAGTTCTCTCTACTTTTTCTTTTCACATTGTGTGGTAGCTTATTAGTTTCCTTAGGTCAATGCAAGTATTTATCAGCAATTCAACAAAACTCTGAGAAAGCTTAGATGACCTGTGGTTCAAGGAGATCTGCAGCAAGAAGCAGGCTTTTCTCACTTTTTAATCGCCACACTATAATCTCAGAGGTCAATGTAGATTTTGAAACTGTAATTATAGAGATTCAACTAAAGCACAGTTAAGCTCACACTTCCAGTCACATTGTCAAAACAATAGGAGGACAGAATATCAGATTTTATCTTCTAAATGGACAATTCTCTACTGTCTTTTCAGGAGCGGGCACTGACGCTAATGTGTGGGTCATCATTTTTGGAGAGAACGGAGACACAGGGACACTGGCGCTGAAAGAATGCAACAAGTCCAACAAGTTTGAGCGCAAACAGATGGACACATTTCGATTCTCAGAAATCCTCAGCCTGGGAGAGCTCTCCAAAGTACGAGTGTGGCACGACAACGCAGGTCAGCCATAAAGAATCACCCTGCACAGTGGGCGGATTCAAAACACTCTGTCTTGCTTTAGATGAAACCTTGATGGTTAATGTAGCTGCTGTCCCACAATAACTACTCATATCTGCTCTGGTTCTTTGGAATCCCAGAGGAGTGAAACAACTTTTTACTGATCGGCCCAAAAGATTCCTGCACTGCTCTTGGTTTATCACTCTGAATGACATATTAACTTGATGTATTTCTTTTGTTTCCTGGTGTCATTCCACCCAGGTCCTGCTCCAGGATGGCATTTGGAGTACATCGATGTGAAAGATGAGATCATGGACAAAACATTTCGTTTCCCTTGTGACCGTTGGCTCGCCAAGAATGACGACGATGGACAGATAATGAGAGAACTGGCTTGTGCTAACAACGACTACTTAGACCTCAATGAGAAGACTAGTAAGGATAGGATATACAGTTACACATTATATCATATAGTTATTAAACTTAACAGAGAAGCAAATGGTGTTTCAGTTCATGGAGCAGCCAAACAATCACGATGTTTTAGTGAAGTAGTGATGATTCGATGTAAAGAGAGAGAGCTGTGAACAAAGAGGCAAAAACATCAATGAGACAGAATTACACGATGCATCGTTTCCAGTGATGGAAACTCATAAATGACTGTGTCTAGAAAAAATGCAGACCATAGATAGATAGAAAAATGCAGCTGATTTTATTTATTTTACTTATATTTATACAGTCTATATCCTCCGGTATAGTTCTGTGCCGAGGCATCTTAATGTACCCATATATTCTGTCTGGAAATGATACCATGTCTGGAACAATTCACTTTAGCTGTGTCCATGTTTTCTCTCAAGAATATGAAATTTGTGTCACGACTGGAGACACAGCTGAGGCTGAAACCAAAGAAAATGCCTGGATTATTCTCGAGGGGAAGAAGGGTCGATCGAAAGAGTTTGTAATGGAGAACTCGTCAAAGAAGAAGAGGTTCTTGCGGTAGGTTCTCGCTGCAAGATGAACTCTGAGCTGTAACTGTTGCATGAAATTACTCAAACCTGCACTTTCTCTCTCTGGAATTCTCACCTATGCAACTCCAACCAGAGCCCATTTCAAAGCTGCAATCCACGATCATGACCTTACACTGTCCTGCTGAAAATTCACTCTGACACAAAACAAGTTAAAATCCAATGAAAGACAATAGCTGCTCATTGTCCACCTGCTTATGTTCCTTACTTTTTAGGGGAAATGTCGACAGATTTGAGTTTTCGTCCAAGAACCTGGGTGATATCGCAGGAATCTGCCTGGGCCACTCACCAAAGGATGGAAAGAAAGTAAAGGGGGTATTTTACTGGCATGTGGTGGATGTCATCGTCACTGAAAGAGAACTGGGAAACAAGTAAGACATACATTTTACCTCCAACTGGGAGGTTACATTTTCACCCCTGTGCTTTGTTTGTTGGTAAGGACCTGTGTGGAAGAAGGATGAGGTACGGGTCAGGAGAAGAACTTGTTTAGCTTTGAGACATTTTCACTGGATGTTATTTGATATTGATGGAAAAGAAATAAGCCATATTAAAGAGCAATACTAGTTATTACTTATGCAGTTTGATGGTATCAGATAAACTTCTTTTTTTCTATCTCACCCTTCAGGTACATCTTCAATTGCAAAGCCCTCATTCCTCTGTCTGCAAAAAGGGATGATTTCTTGACCTTTGAGTGCTCTAAGATAATGGAGAGCTTCGCCAGTAAAGCTCGAAGCCTGGTCCCAGTCAAGTACGAGATCATCGTCATCACAGGTGACGAGAAAGGAGCAGGTACAGATGCCAACGTTTTCATCACTGTCTACGGCTCCAATGGAGATTCAGGCCGCCGGCAGCTGCGGCAGAAGTTTCGCAACCTTTTTGAACGAGAGCAGACGGACCGCTTCCTGTTGGAAATGTTGGACATGGGAGAGCTGCAGAAAGTGCGAATGGAGCACGACAACTCTGGTTTGAACCCCGGCTGGCTGCTGGACCGTGTGGAAGTCACCAACACAGCCAACGGTGTCACCACCATCTTCCTCTGTGGGAAGTGGCTGGACACGAAGAGGGCTGATGGGAAAATCACGAGGGTTCTCTACCCGAAATATTAAAATAAATTATTATTTGCAAAAACTCCCACAGCAGAGAGATCGACACTCACATTTATATTTAATGACTCAAGAGATTTTGCCCTGGAAAGTTTTATATCTTAGAAGGTGAGACAGATTTTCACATCCACGCTTTTTTATGGTCAGATGTTTAATACATGGAAATATAGCCTGCAATGAAATATTGCAACAGTATCTTCTTTGGTCAGGAAAGTGAATGTGCCATTCTTTAGAAATTCAGGGATGGTTTGCTCAGCTGCTTTGTTATAATGGAGATTTTATAAAAGATTAAACTCCTTTGTAATACTCACATGTGTCTACAGTATTTTAACAGTGTGAACTCAAATCCTTCCTGATACTCTCCTGACTCGTCTCTACTTTTATTTCCCTCGTGCCGACACACACATACAGTAATGTCTGACACATCTGTAAACTCAGACTGGCCCAAAACAACATTGTTTGGTCTTAACTAACAACAATGATAAATAATTTGCGTGTGGAGCAGGGAAGTAAGACCCGATCACAAGTGGTTACATAAAACCTTCAGACGAATTTCAATGCCAGGTGTGAACACTTTACACTGACCACTTGTGATTGGATCTCTCAGGACAGATGTTAATACCAGGTGTGTACGGGGTCTTTGCTCTGCTCAGCACCAAAGAGGAGACAGACACTGTAACTGGAGAGCAGAAAAACAAAACTGGTGATATTTCACTGCACCACCATCGGAAAAAAATGTCAGTCACTTTTTGAGCACTTGGGAGCAGTGGAAAATAAACAGAAACTACAACCTTTAAAGTTTCTACACCATCACTTGATGTGACAGAATCATTTTGGATTTTTCTCTGTTTTTTATCTCAACTCATGAGGGAGATATTTACCTTATGAGCTACGATTGGTAAGAGTGAACCAAACGGTGCAGTCTGAAGATAGGAAAACTAAAAATCAAATCCTTTACACCTGAAAGTCTGATTCAAGGTTCATGTCTTTGTTATATCGTTTACATTTGATCCGGTCAGTTCTGGTTTTGCAATTAAGGGAGCGGACTGAAGACTTTTGTATGACACATGTACTATTGGCAGAAATTTTATGTGGAACAATTCTCATAATGTTTTCACTAGTTCATTTCATCTAACTTGTATGAATTGTAGTTTCCTTTACTCCAGAAAAGGCCCTTTATATTTAGATACTTTATATTTACATTGAGGGGACCCTCTCTACGGAGGCCGCCATGTTTTTTACATTAGTCCAGACTGAACAAACTAAACACCTTTTGAGTTTTTATGACAATTAAAGTCTACCACAGGTTCTTTATCATGTTTGGAAGGGGAGGGTGAGGTGACGGGTGTCCAGCTGCAACATGCAACTTCAACACTAGATATTACTAAATTCTACTCAGCAGCCTCTGAGGTCTCAAAGACTCACATTACATTCACATCTTAGAGGGAAAGTTGAGACCACTATAAAAGAGTCAAAAACAAATCCATTTTATCCAATTTATTACAAAAAGAGCACATACAAAAGGATAATATACAAGCCATGAAATAAAATTCAAATTAAAAAAACAGAGCAGTTTGGGTTTAGCAATGCAACTTTTGAAATCATCACCGTTATTATTATTAGTAATAATAAATAAAGTACAAAATTCCACCAAATGTGAATCTAACATTTACCCATAATATGCTCATCCATTTCTTCATTAACACACTCATCACCATTAATGCGCTATTGCTTTAATATTAATGATAAATAGTTCTATTTTCAGATAAAATATCCTATATTGAAAAACATTGCGCAGTCACAGCTAAACAGCAGATTTTCATACAAGGATGGCGGCAGCCCTTTCACTGGCACTTTTTGGGATTTTTCTCTTCAGTTTTGTTTTTCAGATTCAAGCAGCAACAAAATTAATAGTTTTTTTTTCTGTTATATTCTTTGTATATATTTTCACCATATACTATTAAACCATTGAGACTATATTGAAACCTGAGAAAACATGCATTTTTAGAAAAAGGTTGTGCTTTAAAATCCTTGCCTTCCTTTTTAGACTGTGAAAGGAAACAGAGGATAGATCCAGAGAGGAGGGATGGACGGTGAAATAAAAATAGGAAATGGAGAGAATAGGAGATAGAAGATAAAAGAGAATGGAGAAATGAAGGAAACGAAAGATGAGTGGAGTATTTGTAAAGCCCACAGTGAAAGATGCCTCTTTAAAACTATTTCCCCGCAGCTATTTTGGACACTTTGACTGGAAGTTTTTGAGGAAAATGGCTTTTGTAGACACCTGTCAAATGTTGTCGTAGCTCTTTCGTGACCCATTCTTTCAATTAACCGTGCGACCAATAAGGCATGGTGGCTTCGTGGATTGATTGTTAATGGTTTCAGTCGTATGGAAATATCTCCTAACACTTAGAGCGAGGCACTTGTTATGCGTAAGTCTACAAACTATTCTGGAAAAACGAACTGAAGAGAAACACCAGAGAAATTCAAATGAAAAGAGAGCGACACAAAAGAGTTAAAGCGAAGGAACATGCTTCACAGATGATCATCATTAAGACCCATAGTGCATTGTGAGAAGCAGAGCATTAAAATAAGAAAAGAAACAAACGCCAGAGTTCTTAGTGATAATATTAAATTATCTAAACTACCTTTTTGCCAGTGAGAGGGTTCCCATATTTAAACAAGTGAGTGCAAAAGAAAAGAAAAGAGAAGTCACAAACTAAAACCAATTCACTTCATTGCAGTTTGTCCACTACATCACAGCATGGGGGATCTGAGAAATTGCATTGAATGGAATGTAACCAAGATCCACAGCACCACATGAGAGAGAAAGAGAGAGAGACAGAGATAGAGACAGAGTGAGAGACAGAGAGAAAGAGAGAGAGAGGGAGAGCGGGCTCAGTAGCTCAGCCTGGGACAGTAAACATCGCACAGCCAGCTTGTGGAGGTCAAACAGCAGGGTGAATCGTTTTTTTTGTTTTTGTTTCAGTGTTCCAAAAAGTACAACTGCATGCAAAGCATTCCTATTTAAAACAATGCAAAAATGAGGTAATTGTTTTTTTTCATAGCATTTTTGTGTTATTTCTAAATAAATAAATTATGATTCAGTCGCCCCCCCCAGAAAAAAAAACTATACAAAATTAAATACATACCCACAATATCTACAGTTAGTAATAAATTATGATTGTTAAATACTTAAGGCATCTCAACTGACAACACCCTGTGTAAACTATGAAAACTTCATCACGGATGACTCCACTACAGGAGGAGGCAGTGTCGACACTGGCAGTGCACAAGACAGGGAGAAGTGGATCCTGTTTTGATTGGTCCTTGGCCTGAAAGAGACTCTGGGCCAAGTCCTATTCTTAATTATCACAGTGCATAGGACGGCGAGGGTCCTAAAAGCAGCAATTAACACGCAGGGATCTGTGAAACGAAGTGAAAGCAGGTGAGACTGGATCGAACAGCCTGAACGTTTCCCTGCTGTCGTGTCGTCTCATGTCTGTGTGCACTGTGAGAGGGAGGCTGCCTCCGTCACACCACGTTCTACATGTTCTAGCAATACAGCATAGCAACCAGCATAGCAACCACGAGGGGAGGTCTGTCACACAAATACACAAGATCAATACACAAGCTCCTCTCTCTGCTGAAAACACTGCATGAATCTATACCTAAATATGAACCAAATGCAATACAGAGGAAAAGAACTGCTTGTCACTGTAACTACTGTCACATGTGCTTGTTCTTTAGGCCGAAAGGTTCACATAGAAAAAAAAAAAAAAAAAGGATCCCGATGTTTTGCCGCCAAAGGGGGACGAGATGCACGCGCGCTACAAGTCAGGGGATCTGAGGCCGTGCTCGTTTTTTGTTTCTTCATTAGTGTCGAGGAGTAATCACTAAGTCATGCACAGCCGTCACTGCACCGTTTTTTAAATTGAAGTAACACTTGCAAAGCTCAAAGCCCTACTCAACGATGAAACATGCATTTTTAGCTCACGACGTTCTGCCACTGGCCCGGCGCCAAGATGAAGGTGCAGGTACAAAAGCGGCTAAATCTTCCTCCCACCTCGCTCTGCAGTGCACGATACCTTCCTTTATTCATCCCCCTGTTATTTTTTTGGCTTTGTGTTGTATAAGCACTCCAGTGGCCATTAACCCACAGTGAGTCCACCTGTTGCCTGAAACCCTCAAACTCACACACTCACATTTGCACTTTTCCAACACCCACACTTTTAGTTAGCCACATCCACACACTCACAGCAGGGCCGAGCACAGACGTGTCGTCAGGTTGAAGCTACACTGTGAAAACAAAAATTCATTTTGGTAAAATACTTTCTACCTATTTTTTTCTTTTTTTTATGTTAAAAACACACAACGACTCAAGTCACCGGTCTGGGTTTTATGCGGCAGTGACAGAGAGACCTACTCACACGACACCATCTCACATGACACCGACCCAACATAAATGTACAACTGTATTGCAAAAATGTCAAAGCTGCATGATAGAAGTAAAACACTCAGCTAGGCTGGCGCTCGTCTGTGCACCAGATATCACTTGTTGGTTACTGCTACTCTACTACGACCACAAATGATCTTTAGGTAAACATGGCATCAGAGCATTTAGTTTCTGGTAAGCTTTCTTGTGTGGCAGAATATTCATGTTGAAGTGTGTGTGAAAAGAGAGAAATATATATATATATATATAAATGTGTGCGTATTTATATATATATGAGAGAGGGAGAAAGTAGCCAGCTCACTGTGGGGTTATGTTTCCACTCTCGGGACATTAAGTCATGGCTTTAAGGACATGCTACACAGCCCCGGGGCTACCTACAGTACAACACTACAACAGCAACAACACCCAACTGACGAGCAGCAAGCTACAAGTAAACCCTGTGTACATGACTGTGTGTGTGTGTGGTTGTGTGTGGTTGTGTGTTTGCATGTCTTTTGCTTCCAGAGGGATGTGCTTCTATATAAAAGAGACTCTGTCGCGGCCTCTCGTGCAGTTAGTTATCCTGGCTTGGCTCAGTAAAGCATGAGTCAGAAGGAGGGTGATGATGTCACATGACGTCTGGAGACATTTGGCAAAGCACCCGACAGTTGGGGGGGCGGGGTGGAAGAAAGCGTGGAACCACACAAGGGTGATTGACAAGTGTGTGGAGGGGTGTGTGTGTGGTTTCAATCTCATCAGCTGTCGGGGTTCAGCTGTGTTTCGATGTCAACGCGGCAGATTGGACACTTCCTGCTGGTGGCCAGCCATTGGTCCACGCAGCCCTGGTGGAAGAGGTGCATGCAGGGCAGTCTCCTGCAGGACGGAGAAGAGAAGACACAGGGTCAGCATTGATTCAAAGTGACAAGCATGAGTCTGACTGGTGCAGACAACTATGTACTGCAAAAGAAACTTTTTGAAACCTGCAGGGAGTTAATTTAGTTCCTTCAGTCATGCAGAGAGGACTTCTGTCAGGCCTGAGTCCCACACGCCTCTCGGACAGCTGAGACTCCATATGTTGTAAACTGACTCTCTCCTTGTCCCACAGCACTTTTCTCTATCCCCTAAAATTCGCCCACCCCATCTCGGGTTTAACTGCATGTGTAAATCCATGTGCTCAGGTCAGTGCTTATAAAAAAGGGCATCAGTTGGGGGGGGACTTAGCACATACACACAACTGTGATTGCATATGAAAACGGCTTTTTCAAACTGAAACAATCTCTGTCTACACGAGTGTTTTGTCTCCACATCAGTTTTAAATCTGGTCTCCTACACATGTCAGCAGTTGTATCATTGTAAAATGCTGAATTTAACTGAACCACAGCTGTTAGCAATAACAACAGTCAGCAGTGCTTGTAACGCTTGTTAAGTACTCCACAGGTAGCTGAGGCAAATGCTGGTTGTTTTCTACAAATCAGCGAAGGTTAAGTTGTGACCGTGAACACCCGAACAGAAAGTGTCTGAGTGTCTACGTCAGTGTTTCTAAATGTCTCTGCCAATCTCGCCTAAACCAAATTCTCGGATTTAGGAGAAAAACTCAGCGTGTGGACGTATCTGATGCAGAGCTGATGAGTTTTCAAACAAAAACATAGTCATGTAGATGTACCCTGAACTGAGACGATTGAACCAGCAGCTGTTTAGAACCACGACAGGAGAAAGTAGCCTGGCCCATTAGCACCATTAGAGCTCATCGATTAACATTTGTGTTTGTTTAATCCGTAGAAAGACTGAAGTGTAAGTGTAACTGTAGCCAAAGTGTAAATTGCCTGGAGGGAGTTTATGTGTGTGTGAACAGTTCTTGGCTGCAACATAGACTGGTTGCCTGACAACTGCTCAGAACAAAGAAATAGCTCCACATATCCTGAAAATTCACATTTTTACACTTGTGTCAATTCTGCAATCTGTTTTTGCACGAGAAACTAAATGCAATTATGATTTAAAGTGTTAGATAAAACTTGTTTCAGTGAAAGTGTTTCTGACCTGACGTCCTCTCCATCCTCCAGCATAGATAAACAGATGGTACACTTCTCATCCACATCTGTTTCCTCCTCCTCCCCAATCTTCAGATGCAGTGGCTTTCTCTGTTATCGGGTCAGATTGTAGAGACACAGTCAATGAGAGCCATTCAACCCAGTGGGAAAACATTTAGTTGTTTATATATCTGTTATTATCTGTCCAACCTTCTTGTATTTGTGTGGAAAGGTGAATCTCTCGATGGTCGTCTGAACAGCTCCTCTACTCACACTCCCCAGCCGGTCTTCCAGCTGTAACAGCTCCTGAAGGAAAACAATACATACTTATGACCAATACTAAATGGACAGCTGCTGTTTAAAATGTCAAGAATGGACCATGGGCTTATTTTTTTATTTTAAATCTAACGTTAGAAACCTCCCGAAAGGTGATCAAAACACGAGAAGTCTTCATTTTATCAGCAGGAGCAGAGCAGTGTAAATAGCCCCTTTAAAAGCAGTGTTTACAAAGTGCTTTGACAGACAAAGCAGACACAGAAACTCAATCGCAAAAAATGCATTCACATAAAAGTAATAAAAAGACAGCATCAAGTGAAAGCAGATAGCAAATACAAATAAAAAGAATAGAGCAATAAAAAGAAATAGATGACATTACATAAGCAATAATACAAAAAGATAAAAATCTGTAATATACAAAGTAAAAATGCAAATCAGAGGGTTCGAAAGTTTCAAAGTTTGCTTTCCTCTTACAAGGATGTTCTGGTTTTGATCGACGGAGGGAGGAAAGTGTACGAAACATATTCAGAGATAAATTTACCTCGTAACTCTCTCGCACAGCAGTGGCGTGCCTCGAAGGGTTCAGACTTTGCAGGGCCAACAGGTGCAGCTGGGGGTACGGGTAGTTTCTGATTTCATGCACAACCTGGCAAAAGAGAGCTCCTCATCATTTAACAGCACTGATAATCCTGCAGAGGAAAACAGTTCTTCTCTGTTCCTTGAATGTATCTGACACAAAAGCCTCATTTTAGAGAATATAGTGTGACACAAGCACCAAGCGTGTCTCAGTTTGTAAAATACATCCTGCAAAAGAAACTCAGAACTCCTGATGCAACCATTTAGAACACTTTCTAATGTTTCCCTTTATGTGCATTGTGGGTAACTTAGGTGCCAGCTTCTAATAAGTTTGAAAAAGATGGATTCTCATATAATGCTGCATCAGTTTACATTTTTTGTGGGGGGGCGGCTGTGGCTCAGGAGATATAGAGGGTTGTCCACCAAACAGAGGGTCGGTGGTTCGATCTCCAGCTCCTCAAGTCTGCGTTCCTAAGTGTCCTTGGCAGGACACTTAACCCCTGACTGCAGTTTAAATGTCAATAGTAGGCTGCAATAGGCTGCATATTTAATTGCCTCTTTAAGAAAACTCTTACTAACAAATAAACATCTTTTAAATCAATGATAGCAGTGCAGATACCAAACATACCACTTGTGCAGAGGATGTGTTCCTGGGGAAGTGGTGCATGCGAGGGGAGGCCAGGTAATGCTGATAGTGCTGAGGGAGCTGCTGGAGCTGGTACTGGTGGTGAGGGAGGCCGGCGTCCACACTCAGGTCCCTGCAGGGCAAACAGACAGGCGGCTCAATCCACGCTGTCACCCATGATAGGGTGATGTGACAGACAGACAGACACACAGATGGGTGCTGAGATGAAAGCACCAAGACAATTCACGCTCCAACAGGGACTCACCAGTCAGTGCCTTCGGCCAGGTACCGAGGCTGTTGTGTCATTGGCTGTGGAACATGAAGGGGAGGGGAGTACTCGTAGCCTGAACGCAGTCGGTGGGGGTTCAGGGGAATACGCTCCTGGGTTCTTCTAGAATAACAAAGATATGTTTGACTAGCGGGTCTATGAGTATAGAGAATGTGTGTGTTATTTGCATGTAGACTAGTTTTACCTGGAGTGCGGGAGGATCCTGCGGTGCTGCGCTTCAAGAAGCTGCTGCTGGATGAGGTATTGCTGGTGTAAGGCCTGAGGTAGGAATGGAGGCCCCGGCACATCCTGGAACTGGGGGGGTGTGGGCAGGGCAGTGAGGGGCGGATGGTGCGCCGGGGGCAGGTGGGTGGCCAGGCCCGTCTGAGGGGGCTGGCTGCTGTGTCCCAGAGGGAACTCGGCTGAGATGGGCGCCTGGGGAGCGCCCAGGTGAAAGTGTCGGCAGGAGGTAGCATGGCTATTGTGATGCCTGGTGAAGTGTGCTCCTGTGGGAAATAGATCCAAGTGATGAGAATTGAGCCTGAGATTACTCCCAACCACACAAACAACACACAGAGATGCAGACGAACAAGTGAAGCACACATAAATACACACACACATTTGATTCCTGGCTCTCTCACACACACAAATACATTTAAAAACATACAACAAGTTATCACACAGAGAGAACATAAAAATAGGACACAGGAAGAGACAAGACAAAGCAGACAATACAACAGATGGATGACACACACACACACACACACACACACACATGCACACACACACACACACTGAGACCCCATCTAAACCCGCGGACAGATTGCACCCAGTGGCCTGTCTGTCCGCTTGCCATGATACAGCCAGCAGGGAGGATGGATCTTTACTAAGAGCCCGGGGTGTTTCTGAGATCGACAGCACTGAAGGGGTCGTCTGCAGCCTGTGATCTCCTGTCACTTTATTACATGTAGTTTCTATATTATATCTGCTATTCGATGGATCATAGATTAAACTGTCTCGTTCTGACTGAAACCCTCGTTGAGTCTGATAACAACAACAACCGAGGTGGGCTCAAAAGATTATCTTGCCTCCGGTTTCACCCTCCCCCATCATGCCTCCTATCAGAGGTGGAGGCGACGTGAGATTGTGCAGCACAGTCCAAACTGAATCTCCTCTTGCACAGAACAATCGATGCAAATTACTCCGAGTTGGGGGAGCGGAGGGGCGGTAGGAGGGTGAGGTGGAAACAAACAGTTCATACTTTAACTTCCAATTACAAGTTTTCACATTACTTGGTTTCTTAAGCAGGAGGCAGACCACAGGGTGTGGAGGATGGACTGTGCGGAGCTAATGTTACAGTACCACAGTGTTGGGCCTTTTCAAAAGCCTGGAAATATATCCAATCACTTTGAGTTAAATATTTTGGAGGAAGTCTACTGTATGCTGTTGTTGTTTCAAGCTGAGTAGACCTTTACTATGATAGCCGTTTGGACTAAATATAGTAGGTAAACATATTAATCAAGGTTTTGTATGAATAACATTAAACATAATTAAGAGGTGCTATAGGCAGATTTTGCACGAATAAACTATTTTCTTTTTCTTTTCAATAATTGCATAATAATGAAGAGCAAGGGAAAAGAATCGGATGTGACACTTAATAATTCATAAAATAAATAATTTAAAACTTATTAACATTAATCATAAAAACATCTGTATTCTCTGAGTTTGTTTTTAGGAGCCTGTGAGGTGTAACATTTGACTAATTCACATTCATAGCTTGTTTAGAGTTGACTGTAGAACAATGTTAGAATTAGACACATATACTGTATATGTATATACATATATATGTGTGGGTTTAGCCTAAAGCTCTAGTCAAAAGCTGATTAGCTTAGTTTGGCACAAAGACTGGGAGCTGGGGTAAACAGAAAGCCTTGCTAGAACCTCTAAAGTATGTTTTATTTAATTCATACAAAATCCAAAGTGACAACACAACAATTTCTTGTTTTATAGGGATTACGTGGTTCACAGTTTCTCACCAAAGAAATAGTTGTACACTCCAGGATTTGTATAAATCAAACAAAAACAATAACACATATCATTTTGTGAGCTTTTTAATGTTAAACTGAGCTGAGTGAGCGGTTTCCTCCTGTCTCCAGTATTTGTGCTCAGCTGTTTTAAATAGCTTCTAGTTGCAGCTTCATATTTAACATTGGATCATATGTGCTCTTGTTCTCCAACAGAAAGCAAATAAGCAGAATTGCCCAAATGTCTCACTATTCATTTGTTCTGCAGTTATATGACACACTGTATATGCATGATTGTTGTTTTGCTTGGTTGCATGTCCCCTCAGGACATGAGAAGCTAATGAACCTTGAGAGCCACGGGCAGACTGAAAACATTTGGCTGAGGAAGTAGAGCAGAAATGGCAGACTACTGGTTGATTTGGTAAAAAGGCTGTACGTCACTTTTGTATGAAACCTGTGACCTGGTAACACTGGACTCTGTGTGGAGCCTACAGGAAATGTCAAATTATTTGTCTCTGGGCTCCTCCGCAGCATCGGCCGCTGACATTAGTGTTTGACATATTGCAGGGCTCCCAGCAGCGCTGATGCTCTTACTCTTTATACATCCCTGCTTCCACTCTGACAGACAGACATAAAATGCCTGATTGGTGCAGGACGGACCCCCACCCCTTCCACACAGACACACGCATGCTCTCATCCACCTCTCCTCACCCCTGAGCTGCTGCACAGGCAGCCCCTCCCCCACGATGTGGCTGCAGCATGGCGTCCCCTGTATGAGTGACAGCCTGGAAGCACCGCCCACCAGCGACTGCAGCAGTCTGACATTAAACCTGTTTCCCTCCCCCCCTCCCTCGCCCCCCTCCTGCTGCCATCACTGCAGCTTTACAATCACACCTCCTTTCTAAACATAATCCTGTCTTCTTCCTAGTCTGATAGTCCTCCATCACGGAACGCTCCGAGCTGTGTGCAGGCTGTTTTTCATTGAAACCCCCCCCCCCCCCCCCCCCTTCTGATATTACTGTTCGGCACACACGATTACAGTGTGGGACTAGATGGAAAGAAATTGGCCTCTGTGATGTACAGCTGGATTGAAAACATGCCACATATTGGCTCTGCACTCGCTGACGTCTATTCTACAATACATGGGTCACATAAGGACATAGCGGGAGGAAGACAAAAGGTCTGATGCTAATGAGGCCTGTAGCTGTGCAGCTATTGTGGACTAACATATGCATTACAGCTGCTGGGTTATTTTAAAGTCTGTTGCTGCAGTCGCTGGCAAAAAGTTGCACAGAGCAACATATGGTGACTTCTCAGCCACACCTTGCGTCTGCAGACTCTGCACATATATATAACTTGAGACTATTTCAGACATCGTGAACAGATGTATGGCTCAAGTGGCTGGAGCGGGCCAGTAAGGAGTCCTACACTTTAAAATGCCTCTAAGTGCTGAGTCTCAAATTTAAAATGTGCAGCGAAATAGTCAAAATGAATAACACCAGAGCCTGTGCTGCACGTCGTGACCAACTGCCCAGATTTCACACTTTTCACAGAAGCAATGGCTTTGTTAACAATAAGAGCAATTATTTACTGAAGCATTTTGTTGGCTAGTATAAAAACTCCGCACTAGTGAAATTTAAGACTCATCGTAAACTTCTACAGAGCTTTAATCCTACCGTAAACACAATGTTGACACTTTCATTTAACTCCCTTCTATAAATAATCAAAAGTCTTATCTGCACTTTTTTGTCACCAGGTACAAACACACTCGAGTTTGATCATAGGAATTTTATCTCACATTACCAACCTGCTTCTTCCTGTGATTTAAGATTGTGTGTTAATATGTCAAGGTCTGTTGTGCAACATGAACGAGAAGAGAAGTGGTTTACACAGATATAAAGCTTCACATATAAAACACTTGCAATGTGCCGATTGAACCAAACAGATTTGTCTAAATGCATTTGAAGATTCTTGAAGGAAAAGTTGAACATTTTGGGGAAAATCTGCATATTCACTATCAGATGTTGAGTCAGATGAGAAAGTTAACACTGATAAATATAAGTACAGAGAGAGCTGGTCTGGCTCTTTCAAACTAACAAAATCAACCAGCACCACCAAAACAAAACAAATTTTTTTATCTCTTCTTTGTGCAAAAATGACTTATAGTTCTTTAAGCTAAGCTAACTGATTGTATAACTTCTCATTTAGAGTGCAGATATAAGAGTGGTATCAACCTCTTCATCACTTTGCCAGAAAGCAAATAATCAAAGTTCCCAAAAAGTTGAACTATTCCTTTAATAACACATTAAGAAAGAACTGCACAAGCTACATAAGAATGTAGCCTGGTGTTATTGTATAGACAGACTTCCAAGGTTGTTTTAATTCCGCTATTAATCAGTCAGTACCTTGAAATGTGGATATATACCATGAGACGATTCATTCGCCAAGCTATTTATATATCGTGGCATATAAACCTTTAACATCTCTTGTTTTATTATGCCATTAAGGCAACACTATAAATCACAAAGCAAAGTATTCAACATGTTAACCTTGATTCTTTCTTTTTTAGAAATCAGACATTTCTCTAAGATTGTTTTATCCATTGATTCTCCATATTTTTTTTACAGAAAACTAACAATAGTAAATAATATGACAGGTTATATCTTACCCAATATAAAATTACCATGTTGAAGAAGGTTATCCATTTTGCCCAAAGTGGTTCCAATGTTAATTCAACACCAATAAACACCAATGAGTGGATGTGAGGGAGGCTTTGTTGAGTTTTATAAATAATAGTGTATGGAATAAGAGGGAATGACAGCGTGTAACATTAAATATCAATGCCGATGTGTTTCAGTATAAACATGCTTTTCTTTTTTTGTTGTTGAATGGATAGAAAATTTGGTTGCCCCAACTCCAAAGTAAGCAGAGCAGCAACTTGAAGAAACTCTGTCAAAGACAGCTGAGAGAATGAGAGCACATATAGAGTGAGGGGACCGTCTCAGTGACAGCACGGTGTGGAGGGAGGAAGGGAGGAACACATGGAAATCAGCAAAAAGCACACTGAAGGTTAGGAAGAAAACTACAGTCTTTATTGGAAAATATTAGTATGTGTGGCACTGTGTGATAATAGTAATAATAAGAGTAATATAACCATAATAATACCATGCAAATAAAGACCAAAGGCAAGGCCCGACCATGCTCTCTGTAGGGTTAACAGAACAGAAGCAGCATCCAATGAGTAGATGTGTATGCTTACAGCACATTTCAGTACAGCAGGGGCATCTCTACACAAAGATTACATTGGAATCTGCTGTTCAATGTGGAAAAACAAAAAGTATAAAATGACCATGCATTAGGATCTAATACAAGAACATAAGGTAGAAAAAACCACAACCAAAGAATAAAAAGACATTTTGATTCTAAAAGGAGTTCTACAGCAGTGCAGGATATACACATCCCTGTAAAATGGATAGCATTCTGGAAGTGTCTAAGGAGAAGACTTAAGAGGGGGCTGTGAATGATAGTGGTGAGGGGGGGGGGTTTCAAAATGGCAAGATGAGTTAGACCTGAGTCTCGCCAATTTATTGTGACTGACAGAATCAATTCAGCTCGTAGGAACAAAGGCTTTCACACATGGATAGGATTGTGAGCAGCCGTTTGGACGCTCTGCACTACAGCAGGTGCAGTGGACCATCAGAGGTGAAAATAACACCACACAAATCACTGTAATTTCAGCGTTGCGAGTACAAGCCAATCGGTGAATGTTAGGAAAGCGGGATTATTCGTAAAACTGGTTTAGAGTAGGTGATCATACGAGCAATTTTATAGATGACAAAAGCTGGTACTTAGCAAAACAGGGGATGGACACAAATATCCAAAGGGTTCGATCAAGCCTGGCTGTAATCGAATCGGGGGGTGGGAGGATCAAAATGTATCCACTTTACAGAAATTTACAGCAGAATGTAGTCTATCCACACTGAATGGGAGAATCACAATGACAGTCTGTAGTAAAAGTCTAAACGCTACAATGGGTTATTCACTAAAGAGCAACATGACAGTTTAAATAAAGACAAACTGCTTACTACAGAAGGTGTTATTCTTTAGTCGGTTACACAGAAGGATACGGTATGAGTGGGAACTCGGTTTGGTTTGTTTTAATGCCAATGTCGTCTTCAGATGGAAAAGAGGAAATGAGGAAGAAGGGGGTTCACAATACAGCTAGATGCAGAGAACAGGCAGAGGCTACGGCAGACAGCAGCAGATGATCGTTAGCTACACAATGGAGGGGGACAAAGGTCTGAGAAATGCGGAATGTAGAGCCAGCCTCGATACTATGGAACAGGAAAAAAGAACACAAATAAAAGCACAATGAAATCATTGGTGCTACTGCATGTAGTTTTAACAATCAGACTATTATTGTTCTTAATGCTACTGTTATTATTACATAATCAACACAGATAGGCTAGTGCTGCAATGGAGGATGATATTAATGCTGTTATGTCCGATTGAACGAGTGTGGTTATTCTACCTTTATGCTGTTCTTCGCTGCTGCGGCGTTTTTCATTGTGTATTTTTAAGATTTGAGGCAAAATGCCACCATTTTACAACCTCTCTACAGTTACCATTAACCTGAGGCACACTGCGACACTTACCTGCATTAAGAGAATGAGTTAATTGAAAAGAATCATGTTAAAGCGTGTTAACATGAGCGCTAGGGGGAGGAGGAGGAGGGGGGGGGCAACACACTGGATGCCACACAAAGGGGCAAACAACCCTTGTCATGTTGTCAGCAGCGTGCACGGCCAGATTACACACAGATACACACAGTGGTGGGTCTTATTAGCAAAATGAAGATGTGCTAGTAAATGTGCTAGTGTCGAGCTCCGGGTATCGTCCCGTGTAAACACAGGGGGAGCGGAGGGTGAAGCAACACGGGGGGGGAGACCGCGCTAGCAGCGGAGGGTGAAAAACGGAACAAGCGGGGGGCTGCCATTTGACAGCTGCGGTCATTCGGTGCCACAAACAGGCCCCGAAACACCCGAACACACGGATATTCACGGTTCGTACAAGATGTCTGGACGGTTTAAACCGGCTGCGCACACGCGACGCCACCGTTAGCAGCGCGGCTAATGTTATTCGTCGCTCGTCGCTAGCAGGTGTCAGCTCTGTTTACATCATGAGGACATTTAAAAAGAGAAGAAGAATGCACGCGGCGGTATTTAACGGGGTTAGGACGTGAAATAGAAAAGCTCGTCATACCTCTATTTCTAACTGAGCCGAAGACGGGGAGAACCAGATATCCAACATGTACTAACACCATCCTGGGTCCTTCTTTGTTGTGCGGGCGGCCACAGCGAGACAGATGGTCCATGGAAATGATCCCCTCCGGAGCTCGACGCGTTCAAACGCACAGGCTGCGCTGCCTGCACACGCACACCCGCGCAGCCAATCAGCGGAGCCCCCCGAGCAGGACCCTCCGGCTCTGGCAGCCGGCTCCGCCAATGGGAGCGGCTCAGGGGCGGGGGTGTCCGCCCCCTCCGTCCACACTGGAGCCTGCAGCCCGGAGGAGGTGCTGCTGTCTCCTCAAGTAAACATGGCCCCTCATTAGCTTCCATTCACACTGATTATTCAGCTCTGCCACGATTATGTCACAGACAGGATGTGTCTCATGGAGGATTCAAGATGAAAATCTGCAACAGATCATTCTGCAGGGAATGACTGTGTATCAACATACCATACCATTTGCTTATAATCAGGTAATATCAGGGATAGGATCACACATAATCAATCCAAATATTGATCTCATGTAAAGAAGAAAAACCTGAAATGATTTATAAAGTCATCTTCTTTTTTTGTGTTACTATATTGCAGGTATTGCATTAAATTTCAAAAGATGAGATCACTGTCACTGTCCACTTTATCTATTTCTTTGGCCCATTTACTACAGTTCCTTTCAAATTCCTCTTGTCTGTTCCTCAAATTATATGTGATTCCTTCCATTTCTTTAATCTCTTCAACTGGTAAATTAAAACACAAGGATTTCTTTTTTATTTTGAAAATTGATGAACACAAGACACGTTTTTAAATGGTAAGACATCTATCTATTGTGTGATTTCTCTGAATTAAAGAGATCATCACTGCAAATATTATAGATAATACGTGTGTCTATGTGTTTTTGGTATCAATACAAGACTTCATATAGTATTGATACTATGGGAATTGATCCCCAAAAGCGCAGAAGTGTTCTGATGACTGTGTTTGTCCTCACTGGGACTGATAATCCACCAGGTAGCAAAAGGGGAATCAATAAGGTGAAACTATTGCCTTTGTGGAAAGTGTCTGTATATATGTTGGCTATATATCAGTGACAACATGCACAGGGACAGAAGATACTTATTAGCTGCTAGCTAACACTGATGCAATTGCTTTCGTACATTGTCCCTGTAAAAAATAAGCAATAAATAAAATATGTATAAGTATCATTTTGAGGTACTTGTTTTTCACTTTATGCTACTTCATTAGCTCCACTCCTTTTTTCTTCCTTTTCATTCATGTATTAATCAGAAATATTAATGAGAGCAATAGATATATTATATGATGCATCACTTAAGATGAATGGCCCTGCATACATACATGTTTTCAATTATTGTGACTGATGAGGCCTTCTGAGGCTTGAGGTGTTCAAAGTTCTGCTGGGTAATACATGAGGTAACCAAACTCTTACAAATAAGCATGAGTGAATTTTACTTAACATAAAATGTTGCAGTTTTCAGTTGATCCCTGCCATAATTACTTTTTACTTTAGTGAAGGGCTAAGGCTAAAATGAACATGTGAGACTCCTTTTTAAGTTAGAACTAATGAGAGGACTCCATAGCCTGTTTGTAATAAGAGTCTTTGGATTGTTTTAAGGACAAGAAAATCTGATTAACTTTGCTTTTCTTCACTTTGGGACCCGGTGGATGATTTGTTCCATCTGTCTCTGTGTGGAGGAAATCAAATCACAGTCATTAGAGCTGACTGCAGGACTGGAGGCAAATTACGGCTCATTAAGAAATATTCAGTTCTCATCATCATTCATTTAAAACAACGGCATCCTTAACATATGTCGCACCTTTTTTATGTCCACCAGATATTCTGAAAACTGTCCTGAATCCTGGAAACCTCTCTGTCTTCAGTGTGGAGCCTGAGGGGTGAAGGAACAGATGGGCCTGGGAGGCTGGGGGGGTGTCACAAAACTCTTAGTCCCATATGTCCTAGTCTTCCAGTTCCCACCATCTAATACTTTAAGCCTGCTGTGCCACACAAAGAGCCTTTCACAATAGTTAACTATCAGCACAGGTCAAACTACTGCAATCAGTGCCCTTTATCCCCACATGACAGGTGTCTGTTATTCTTCATTTATAATATAAACCTGTGAACAGTCGGTACTGCAGTGTTAGATTTTATTGAAAAATTTATTTCTACCACTGCCTTCTATTCCAATGCCACATGTCATCAGACTATTCAACATTTTTAGGGCTGCAATATTTCATTATTTATTGTCAATAAACGGTCAGAAAGTAGTGAGAAGGCATCTTTTCAAAGTGCCAAAAGATGTGCCAAATTTGCAATGCTAGACGACAAAGAAATGAAAAGAAAAAGAAAGAAAGAAAAGAAATGAAATATAAAGAAAAGAGCAAATGGAAAGAAAAAAGAAAAGCTAGATTGAGAAAAGCTAAGAAAAAGAAAAGAGCAAAGAAAAATTTTAAACAATGAAGCAAGGAAAAGGAAAAAAAGGAAAGACACAAAAGGAAAAGAAAAGAAGCTCCTCCTGTTACATCAGAAGTTTGAGCATATACATAGTTTAGATAGAAAACAGCTCTTTAATTTATATTATATTAAACAGAGCCTAACGTTTCATGTTGTGCTCACTGTTAAATAAAGTAGTTCTATATTTATATATATAGTTATATATTCTTTCCCCTCTGGCGGTGGTTGGAGCAGCCGTTCTCTGAATAAACCTGCATAGAACAGCACACAGTGACTGAGAGACATCTGCAGGAGGAAGGATGCTCATTTCTGCCTTTTGAGAGTGAACTGGCACATTCACTGCTCTGTGAGGCCACCGCTGCCCTGTAAAAAAAATTAGCATACAGCTGATGTCCTGCCCCCGGGGGTGAAAAGAGTCGGCTGAAGGGCTTCTTTTGGTTTTTAGGAGACGGGCCCCGCAGACTGCATTGCTCCACTCCTTCATTGTCCTCCTCATGTGAACTCCATATGTCCCCCTAGCGGCAGGTGTCGCGGTGTGACCTCTGACCCCACATGCCACTTTGTTGGGTGAGGGTGAAGTTGCATTGTTAACGGAGAGTCTCATAGTCTAGACTGTTTAGCCACAGCATAAGAGAACACAATGAGATGTCTGATTAAGTATTGATGGCAATTATTCTTACTTGTACAGACAAAATCAGACTCATACCAAACACTGTTTAATAGACTGTCATTATCATAACAGAAAATTAGAATTCGAGTCTTATGTTTGCTTGAGTTGTGTTTAAATATGTCAAAAATCTCACCTCAGTCCCAGTTAGACGAACTCTGACAGGCCGAACAGGAACATTCATTTATCAGAAATATCCTCTCAGCTCAATTTTCCTTCCCTAAGCCGGCTGCCTGACATTTGATGTCAGTCACAGGCACATGAGCAAAGACGACATAACAAGCTTCAGCTCCAAAGCTTAGAAACAAACAAAACAACTGTACAAGAAAGTCATTAAATAATGCTCTATTTATTTAGTTTTAAAATAGTTTCTTTTTGTTCTACAGACATAATTTCAAGGAAGTCAAGGACCTGCTGAAGCAACAAAATAAACACCCCTTTTTTGTTAATTTAAAATACTGAGAGCAAAACAAAAAATAACAGAGGAGCGAGGCTAAATTACTGGTAATGAGGGTAATATCAGACTTGAGGTTAAAATATGTGACCAAACATGCAATGTGCAACCACAGTTGAGCATCACTGCCCTTTATTTTCTATACCAAACCTCTAAAGACATGAGCAACGTCTCACTAACATCTCATAATAATCCTATAAGGAACAATAGCAACATGGATTTTGCAAGCAGAAGTGGTCTGTAAAATAATCAACACTACAGTAGTAGCTGCATATAGTGGAAAAACAAAGCAACTGGCCAATGGAACAAAATATCACATTGTAATAAACTCTATCTTGAACAAATTGCACCGACTTCAAAATAAAAAGTACAGAGTAAATTTAAACTGAATAAACTAGAGGCAATTTTTAAATTGGGAAACAAACAAAGTGAAAACATATTCCATTTAAACTTTGGTTTAGTTCCTAAGAATTAGGATTTTCCCTTTTCTGTGACCAGCGGACGTTAAAATAATGACTCTATAGTTCTCAAGCATCACTTATATTAAGTAGATGTGCAATAAAACAAGTGTTAAAACAGTGTATGAAGTTGGATTTTAGTTTTAAAAAAAAAAATACAAATTTACCGGCATGGCTGCGGTACTGCATGATGACAAAAATAAGACCACAGGGAAAAGAGAGCAAGCAGGCCCTGAGCATCAGGGTAAGAACAGTTCATACACTAAAATGTCTCTTCTATAAACGCCCCACACACGTGGGCACAAACTCAACACCACCTCTAATAGTTTTTTTTTTTTATACGTGTGCTATATTCACATCTATTATTAAAATATTTATTGTTGAGATAGCAAAAAAATCCACTGCTTTATATTAGGTAAAAGAATAAGCTTTATACCATTCTAAAAAGAAAAATAGTGCACATTTCAAGGCATTCAGGCCATCTTGCTTTGCAGTATTCAATGGAAGATACATTTTCCTCAGTTGTTATAAAGGGGTCCCCAGAGGTTTAAAGGTGTTTGCATTCACTCAGAGTGGGCATGCAAACAGTGAAGTGCATCCAGTCGGCACTGCAGAGTCATACATTCACTGAGAACTAAACGTTGCTCTGCAGCAGACGTGGCGTCCAACGTGAACTCTTGTCTCGAAACAGAAGATTCAGACGTTCTATTGCCAAACACACACCATCGCCACATATTGTACTGCTGCAGTGGAAATGAGTCCTATCTTGTAGTGTGTCTGTGACAAATGTGCTTGTATTGTTTTTCCCCCTCAGAGTCTGAGTGTAACCAGTGATTCTGTTTGTTAACAGCAAGAAGGAAAAGTGAACTGTAACAGTAATGGAAATAAAAGCTGTGACTTTAAAGCAAGAAACATTTTGAGAAATTTACTTAATTGCTTTTTGGTGGAGAGTTCACACTACATGAGAAAATCTTCATCACTGCCGGTCTATTGAAAACTAAGCTGGCAGCTAGTTATCATAGCTTAGCATAGACCGTGAACCTGTGATGGTTGCTACCTTCGGACGCAGCCGAGCTGTTCCCCGGGTTTCCAGTCTTAAGCTAAGCTAACCAGCTGCTGGCTGCAGCTCTATATTTAACAAAGAGATATAAGATTGACACCAATCTCATTTAATTCTTGGCAAGAAAATGAATGATGATGAAAGAATTTCTTCAACACAAAGCAAAACCTTAACACTACTTGACAGGTCATCAGAGTACAGGCTGTGTTGCTGGGCACTGTATAATAAAGCAAAGCCATCAATGCAGAACTAAATATGAAACCAGTGGTGAGACTTTTGAAAACAAAACTGACCGTAGACAGAAACAAATGTTCTTGTCCATAGTCTACTGTACAACAGAAAGTGTACCAGCTGCCATTTTGTCTTGACTGCAGGCGAGTGCAGATAAAATGCCGAATCCAGTCTGAAAAATATTCTGTTCAAGAGTCTGTTGTAAAACGGGTCAACAGCAACATTGTGATATTGACCCGCTTTCAAGCAGCAAAATGAAGTTTTTAACTGTAGAGCTTGCAAGCACACAACACAAAGTGACTACCTACATCCTTTATAAAGGGGTAACTGAGGTATCAAATGAAGGGAGGATATTGCTATTATTAACAAATATATCATTCTTAACGTATGTTTCCACCTGCACTGGAAGGGCTGTGCCATTTTATTACAACTAATTTCATAGATGACAAGCCAGGGCCGGGGAATTACGTCAGCAGAATGGCTTTGATACACATGATTGTTCAACAGTAAGTTAAAAAACACAAACAAACAGTGCTCTGGAGCTGATAGAGTTCACAAGCGGTTACAGGCGAGGCTGCAACTCAAGGAAGGATTTCAGCCATAACATGGAGGCGAGGTGAGACGGGTGAGGATCAGGAGTGAGAGGAAGAAACAAGGAGTCTTCAGTGTACAAGTCGTCTAAAGTAGGTATTTGTGTCCGGTGTCCTCGTCCAGCGTGAGGTCCACCACTTCAGGAGGGGACACCCAGTTAGGCTGAGGGGAAACAGTAGTCCAGAGCTGGGGTTGATTTGTGCTGTTTAACTGCTCCACGGAGCTCTCCTTCCAGGAGGACAGACTCTTAATCACACCTCCACACGGGTGGGCACATCTGGAGTGATAAAAATGAATTATTTTTTAAAACTGGCAGGGAAATATTGGATATTCTATGACTGAGTATTACGGCCATATGTCATATAATAAGAATAAAGTTGAAATTTTCATTTTCATGGAGGTTTCATCTTCTAAGATTCCCTCTAACAATGATACGAAAAATTATGACTTTGTTCTTGCAATAATTCATATTTCCCCTAGCAACTGACCCTAATACTCCATTGTGATATTCAGTCTAGAAAAATATAATACTACTTTCCCCCCTTTAAGTCTTTACCTTGGTTTCTCTTGCACGCCGACTATTTCCACCTCGCTGTCAGAGGAAGCAATGTTAATCTGGCTCTTGTGTTGAGAACTCTTGTGCGACAGCTCTGCCTCCACGTGGCCTGAAACAAACAAAGAGGAACAGTCACACATTGTGAGGAGGGTTGGCAGCAGTAGGGAGCTTCAGGCCCTGCTGACACATGAAGACTGCAGCTGCTTTGACAGACAAGGATGAATCTGACACTTGTGTTTGAGAAGCTGACTGGATAGCATGGAGTGACTGACAAAACAGAAATTGTGGACATTACATTCATGTTTCGAAAATGCCAGCCAGTCAGTAATTAAAAGGTCAATTCTTTTTTGTCTCTCAATAGCCCCCAAATGCAAGCCATCAGAGTGTGGGGTGCAGAGTGGTACTTTCAACGTCTTGTAGACATCAATAATAAAGGTTCCCCACTTCTGTGTGACACGTATGCCTCTAAAAGTCCTGTCTTCACTGAGAGGAGTGGAAAGGATCAGTTGAGATATACTGGGTTTGTAACTGACCTGAGATAGAGCTCAGAGCTCTTACACACCCAGAGTAAGCTGCCATATCCTGGCCTCTGTGTGTTTTTAGCTCATGCTTTATCACCGTGGGCCGGACTGTCTCCACACTCATACTCTCCTGGTTAGAATCAGTGTCTGAAATATCATAGTGACCCACTACTGGAGGCCCGTCTGCAGGAAACAAAGAGAACACTTCATTATTCAAATCGTCCCCGGGAATGGTGGGAGTCTGGATTGGACACTACATCCACAGTCCTGCTAACTGCAGCATCGAATGTGAATATAAACAAGAGAACACAGCCTGTTTTACCAGATGCTATGGTAAACCAGTAAAGAAATAACGGCACTTCGATCGTCTGCAGAAACACAAACAATTACATCTATGATTAATTCTCTCTATACGAGTGAGGCTTTTATAAGAGTGGATGTGTTTGCTGTGTATCAATAACCCCTTTGCAGCAGCATTGTCTTTTCTCTCCATTTATTGCTTTTAAAAGGAACAGCCATTCACATGAAACAACACCAGAATACAGTCATTACAAAACACTTCAACATAAATCTTACTCGGTGAGACACATGTTGTGGGATAACAAAAGCCAAACAACAGAATAGAGAACTGTGGAAGAGCGGGAACACAAATCTTTGTTCTACCCTGTCATAGGAGTCCCTGGGAGACACACACACACAGCTACCCAGACTCGTGTGTGTGTGAGAGGCTATGAGAACGCTGCCTATGAATAGCTGATTGGTAGCAGGGTTACCAGAGAAACCGAGCACATGTCAATGCAAAAGGTCATGTATTAAGGATAGAAAAAGGACTAATGTAAACCAGGATAGTCTCTTTGGTAAACAATGGACTGTCCTTAGTGTTGTTTATAATGCACACAGCTTGTGATTGTATGCACGAGGCTCTCTTTACCGTAGTGATTTAAAGGTTATTTCAATTTGAATAAATGCTAGACGGCAGTTGTTGGATCCATTTAAACGCAAAATGGCAAAAACAAAAAGTATGAAACAAAAAACACCAATATCCACACCATTTGAAACAAAACCATCCGGCCAAGAGAAAACAACTAAATAGATCAAAATGTTCTGTCAGTAACCGTTTATCAGCATAAGCTAAGTTGCACACATGCTGCTGACGAAAACTAATTTGGCCTTGCACATTCTGTATACTAATATATCACATGCAAACAGGTGGGGAAACGATGCTGTAGGGTCTGTAAAATTGACAGTCATAGGGCTACATATACACATACAGAAAACACTTTAACATCCTAACTATAAATATGATTAGGCCAAAGAGTCCATCAATGTCTGTGATGCTCGATAGTGTTAGCGGTGTTAAGAACGCTATGGTCGTCAGTGAAAGTAGTTTGAGGAGACGGTTGAGGAGGAGGAGTGACTCCGCCTCAAAGACCACAGGATCTGAACTAGAGAAGGCCACTTAATCACCCAGATCAGTCCTTTTTTAAGTAAAACCAGTAAACATTGCCATGCACCACACTGCAGCTGTACTACTGCTGTGTATCTGTAAGTTTGATGCCTGGGCTTTAGTTTTCAGTCGAGCTGTGGAACACGAGATGCCTTGTGGAGACACGGGCCAAGCTAGCAGACCAGTGCAAATTAAAAAAAATAAACTGGGCAATTATTATGAGTGAAAACTTGAGGCTCTTGACATTGCAGCTAATAGCCTCAACAAAAGGAACCCATGCCCTGTCCCATGCCCATAAACTACACATAGGCTACTAAAAATAGCTGGGAATCGTTCCTCCCTCACTAGTTTCCTGTTGCTGCACACAGGCAGCAATAGCAGCAAATGTAACAGAAAGGCAAATATTTAAAAATGTCAACACGTCTAATCTAATTACATAATCTTAAAAAGCAAGAAATTGTGTGGGTTAGTATATTGCATTTATATTTATAGGCATATCTATGTGTAAATGTTTTGATGTTAATAAAGCTATGCCACCAAAGTAAAGGTTGTCATTAGATTTTTAAATTCCTGAAGCATTTATGAGCAAAGTGCTTTCATAAGTCAGGAAAACAATGCTAATGTAGGGTGTTGAACCTGATTTCTAAAGAAATTGTACTATGACGCTTCATCTATCTTTCCCAGCACAAGTTCAGAATGACAAGGCACATGCTATTAAGCAGCAGCACCCTAACTTGCACTGTCATGATGGCCGCCCCGGTGTTGTAATGCACAGTCCTGTATGGATGACATATTCAGCTACTGTGTGTGTCTATGTGTGTACAGCTTTTAAACTAAAATCAAACAAGCTATACAATAAGCAAGACAATAAGAGCCCTGACTCGACAGTTCATTGAGATATGCCCCACAGATGCTGCAGAAATCAAACAGGTGAGTTGAAGGATTGAATGAACGTCAAATCTCACAGTGATTCAGTGCCAGCAGACACACTCGGGCCTCAGGTCTGCACAGTCAGCTTCAAATGAGCAGCTCCAGCTGCTGATGATGATGATGTATCTGTTCGGTGACCTTGCATCATTTACCCATTGCCATGCTTTCTGTATGAACTAATTCTACACTTGGTAAGATCAGAGTGTGACACTGCAAGGAGTGAAGAAGTGAAATCTAAATATTCAAGAGACCTGGGTCTGGAACACCTAGATTTCCATTCTGAGTGACCACTTCAGGTAGGATGTTGTTGTTGTTGTTTATAGGGGTGGGGGGGAGACTGTTGTTGTCTCGCGCCAACATGTAGGCAGCCATAGTCTCTGCAGATTCAGACGATGGCAAAAAGGAACTGGGTGGGGACGGGCGTGCCCCCTGGGAGTGATGCTGCGGCCCCTCGTGGGCGTCACTTGAGCGTTTGGACGAGTCGTTGTCTGAGTCGAGGTGTGCAAGCTTTTCCATCCAGATGCGGAAGCGCTCCTCGGTCTGGCGCTGCATCACGGCAAAGCGCGTCATGGCCTCCTCCAGTACGCTGCCGATGCCGTTCCTGTCCCACGAGCTGCTGTCCAGCAGCCCATGAATCTGGGCGCCCACTCTGGATCTCTCCGATGCACGTCTGAAGCCAGCTTTAAAGACATTGAGGCCAAGCCATAAGAAAATACAGTAGCACTTTCATGCTTCGGAGGTGGACTTTTGTATTAAAAAGAGAAAATGACAGTTTGCTTTTGGTTACGTGCAGATCGACTCTTTCATGCTGATGGACTACATCATGCAGTTGTAGCACTCAAATCTGTGTGCGGGATGTAAAAATGGTTGAAAACGTTTTATGTACAACGGATCCCTACAGGAAGGAACTGGATGCCTCAGGCGACAGATTCAGGGACTGCGGTTTTGAAAGTGTGTAAACTGATGAGACCTTGACGCAAACACACCCACTTAAGATAGATTACTTATAAAGACAACAAATATGTCAAAAACTGGTGACCTAAATAATAATTCATTCAACAAACCCCTGACACACACTTAAATCCTGAATTTAAAGGAACAGAAACACTAACAAATTGAACCAACCCAACAGGTTATGTTCTAACGAACACAGATAAGCTTAAAGTAAACATAGTGACTTCTTCAACAACAGCAGCAATAGCCTGTAAACATTAACCAAGCAGTAGTTACTTACAGAGAACTCACACCGACAAGTGTCAGGAAACATTAGATTAACTGAGCGAACAAACACAGGACTGATGTGCAGGCAGACAATACTGTCAGCATTTAATCCTATTTCACACTTCTGTGACTGAGTTCAGTTTACATGTAAAAGCTGTATATGCATCAATATGTTAGAGTCACTGACACAAGGGCTATACGACTTCTCAAAGGTGCTATGGAACTCAAAAGAAAGAGCCACCTGCTTACAAAATGCTTTGTCGCCTCCTGAGCAGGCAGAGCAAAATGAGGTATATTTTAAAGCCACAGGAAGAGAAAGAGAGAAGCATAATAATACTAAATTCCTAGCAGCCTTGAGGTGATACAGACCGTCACTATACCTCCATCAATAGAAAAAATTATACAAATCTTTTAAATTGAATTATACACATGCTATTAAAATGGCTGAAGTCTAGACTTACTGTTATGAGGTAACATTTCTATGCAAATAAAAACCAAACAGTCGCTTCAGAGACTTGCAACTCTGACCAACAGTGAGATCATTCACCACCGTCTATTGACAGCAAAGGCTGCGGATAAAAATGGCTCACTTGTTGAATAGCAGAACCCACAATACAGATTAGAGTAACACAGCTCTGTATTTATTATTCTATGGAGTTGGAAAATGTCCACTAGTTTACCAAAGCATGCCAACAATAAGACAAAGTTCCAAACTAAACACATGTTGTACTGCTACAAGTGACTGGGCATAGACCCTTCTAGGGTGAATGAAGACAGATGATGAGTGAGAAAATAACAAAAAAGAAGATAAAACAAACAGAGAAAAAGCAGTGGTTATACTGATCTGATATCATGAAGTATAAACTATATGTGACTATTGCATAATTTGATTTGGGGTGCCTGAATTTTTTTGTTATGTTCTGTATTTGACTGTGATGGCAAATGATCTGTGATTGTTATACACGGTTAGTCTGTGTGTATTTTCATTACCATGTGAGAGTGTTTTACACAAGTGACTGCTGCTACTGCTACTCTAGACAAAGATACTGTGCAAAAGGTGTGTGTTGTGAACACTGGATTGTACCTGGAATATCTGTCTTGATTGTCTTGCTACCTCCTGAAGTGTCATCATCCTCATCGTCAGAGGTGCTGGTGCTGGAGTCACACGTGAGCTCGCTGTCACTCGTACTGCTGTCCTGCAGCAGGTTATACTTCTTCCGTGCTGCCGCCTCTCGTTTTTGCCTCAGCAAACGCATGCGCTCCTTGTGTTTCTGGCTCCGATGACCTTTCACTTTTCCCAGCTTGCCGTTGGTTTGTTTTTCATGTCCTCCTGCTGCTACCACAGTGGGCTGGCAACGATTCTTCTTTGCCGCCATGGCATTGGGAGGCATCTCGCTTTCGGAACGTGACCGCCGAGACTTCCTCCCCCCCGCCGCCGTGGCAGATGCTTGCTTTCTTCCTGCCTGCCCAGAATCATTTACAGCTTCCATGTTGCCCTCTTCCTCTTCGCCTGCAGGAGGAGCAGCACCTTCTTCCCCTGAGGAGAGTGTGTCTGAGTCAGCAAGGTGGCCGCTGGATGAGGGGGAGAGCATGCAGGGGTTTGAGGAGTCACTCTCATAGATATGATGGGAAACGGGCTTGTCGCTTTCTGTAGAGGCGTGCTGGGACTCCGGGGAGTCTCTGCGGAGCTCTTTCATCAGGCATGGCATGGAGAGGAGACTCTGCTCACCCTCTGTATTCAAGGGGCTGTCTCCCTCTTTTTCCCCTGGTGGTGAGCTGGTACTAGTGGTGGTCTCTGTTTTCAGATGTTCGTCCTGGTCTCCCTGAACAGAAGCCGTGGCTGATTGTGCTTCATCAAGGCACTCTGAGGGGCACTCAGCATCCACAAATTCCTCGGCCTTCTCTGAATCAGCCATCTTCATCCTAGTTGAGCCCAGAGCCCAAAGGTCCAACAAACATGGACCAATGTGCCTGGACAGGAGCTCACCTGCTGGAAGAAAAAAAAAAAGAGAATTCACAGTGAAAATCAGTGCAATTAGTGCATACTGTATTACAAAACAAACGTTTAGTAAAGACTTGTTTGTCAAACATCTCTGTCACCTTGGCTGTCTACATTTGAACAGTACTTCAAACAAGTGTGAGCTAGATTGCTGTGAACTAAAGGTCAAATATAAGATCTTGACCATTGCTGGTAATGTCTCACTTTTACAATATTCAGAGGGTAGTATTTACTAGTGCATGTTTAATCATCTCATCATCATAACAATAGAAGGCCACAGAGCTAAATATTAGGATCTAGCTGATAAGATCCCCAATTCAACTATGTCGGTTGGTGCACCTTTTTTCTTCGCCATTCAAAATCGTACATCAACACAGACTTTCACCGTATTTGTACATTTTGTACTGACATCTTGCAAAACAGTCGACTTTTCCTCAGCAAAACCAACAAGTACTCACTTTAAATAATGTGTAATAATCTGGCCAGAAATTCCCATTTATCGATGTAGCAGGTGAGCAGCAACATTAGCTAACAGGAGGACTAGACGTTACTCTTACTTTTAATGTCGATCTATTCCACGTCTGACTCAGTACAACAATGTTTTCACTAATACCTGTTAAACGTCCTGTGTGTGTACACTGAGATGCATATTTGTGTCTGGATGAATGACTTTAGTTACTTGTGTCTGCGGCTAGCTGCGGCTAACACTGCCTCTGTTCTCCTACTTTTAGCTGCGTAGTGAAGCTAACCTCGGCCATAACCTTACGCTCTCGAACTTGGCGAGGAAAAGTCAAGTCATGGAAAAATGTCCAGGTTGCGGGACAGCTGCCTGGTGGGGTCCTATAAATGGAAGCGGTATCTATCCAGCCCGAGGTGTAACAGGCAGAGTAATGTCAGCGGCTAACGTTATCCGAGCAACTTAGCATTTCACATCGGCTACGCTAGTTGAAACTTACCGCGGCGTTACTTCTAATCTTCTTCTCCTCGCGTCAGACTTTTCCACATCTTCGGTAATTTGTGGCCTCTTGGGTTTTCGATGCATAAACGCCCCCGTGCAAAATGCGCTTCACTTCGGGGGAACTTGGCAGAATTTGAAGGTGTTTTGGCGCAGTGCGCTCGCAGCTTTGCGAGCCCTGTTAGCCGTTGGCGGCTAGCTGTGTGTTTATTTTAAAATGTCTCCATCGGCCGTTCACAAAGATACATGCGCCACTTCCGGCCTGCTGTCCGGGGCCGAGCGCCCCCCGCGGTCAGAGAATACTACTACAGACTGAGAAAATACTGCAGCACCGGTTTTGGTAAAACTTTGTGATCACATGAAATCCACAGGGATGGTCATGTCAATGCTATGGTACATTTGATCAGGGATCATTATAATTTTAATATTTCAGAATCAGAGATAGAAAATCCACAATGGAGACCAGTAATCAGAACAGATGTGATTTGTTTAAATAAAAATGGAGCAATATGCACTGATGGTGTGAAGAATGCTCTGACCCAAAGGTAATTTTGAAAGAAACTAATCGTTTCGATTAAAAATCTTTCTATTCATTCAGTTCATTCCTTGCAGGTATAAAACAGAATACACTTGATTTTAAGGACTTGGTACAGTGAACTTCTGTCTTGGATAGATTTCTGCAACTGCTTTCTATTTCAACGAAACATGTCAATAAACTATTTATTATTTTAAGGGCGGCCATCAACAGCTACATTTCATTTTCAATCGTCAATAAAATGTCAATAAAAGTAGCGGGTGAAAAAAATCATATCTTCTTTTCGGAGACTTTCGATTCCATATTTTTAATTAAAGTGCAAAAGCCCAAACATATTGATTTATATTATATTAAAAAGAAATAAATTAAAATAAATAGGGATGTTTTATTTTTGGAAGTACTTCCGGGTCACTGTGACCTTTCTTCAGGTCTGCTTCCGTGTCCGCCATCCTTCTCTCTTGGCTCCTGGAGCAGCTCAGACTTCAGGACTCAGACATGTTGTCAGTTCGCGTCGCTGCGGCTCTCGCCCGCTCTTTGCCTCGACGGGCAGGATATGTAAGCATCTCTCACTTCTTCATGGTTTCGTTCACGTTGACTTCAGTCAGCAAAACGTCGCATTTATCTAAATTTAAAGTCATGGCGGTGTCTTTGCGCCGGAGGACACCGGGCCCTTCGCCCCGCTCACTACCCAGTGATCACGTTTGTAGATGACGGGCAGAGGCAACAACCCTCTTCACAGACAGTACAGTGTCATTAGTGGAGACTAGCCGCTGAAATGAATCTCTGGTCCTTGTATTAAACCTGTAAAACGTTGTCAGTGAGTATGACGAGGCTGAAGTGCAGTATTGAAGGTCAGATCAGATGCCAGCTTTCACCGCTAATACCTTTCTCAGGCTAAATCTCGGCAACTACATATTTAAGTTTGTGTATGTTTTACAGACACCGGTAGCTAATTATTTTTTTTTATTCTCTAAAAGTAATCTACAATTAAAAGTATCTGGAAACTGCTTACCTCTACTCAATCTATGCTTACCGCTGTTCTGCAGGTTTGCAGTAATGAATTATCGGACAGTTATGTCAAAATAAAAAAGTATACCTCATTTCAAATGTTTCCTATTGTATAAACTAGATAAATAAAGTGCATACCCTCTCCAATGCCCAACACTGTCCTTCAATTCAATCAAGCGGCACCAAATATCTCTTACTGATAGCTGTAAGTCTCCCAAATATGTCAGATTGTTTTCACCAGTATCTCTGGATTATTTTTAAGAAATTCACTAAAATGTCAATGTCAAAAACGTCCTATCGTGATAATTAATGGGCTCTTCCCTGACCCATAATGCATGAAGTTTTGTGTTAAACCTTTGGTAGATTTGCATACTCCTGCTAAAAAGCATTTGAGCAGGAGTATGCAAATCTACCAATATGCAAGATGAAAACATAACATCCTTGACAGAGGTGTGAAGCAAAGAAATGTTTCTTCTGGTCGCCATCTTTTTTTTTTGTGGAAAATGTATGCAGCTTTAACAGCAGTTTTTTTAGGTAACATTAAACAAAATAATTTTTCTAACAGACAGTTCGAAGATGCTTTCAAAATAGCAGTGATATCAGTTGGATTTATTGTTTTGGATTACAATGTACCCATATATTGTATGTGTTGGTGTTGGATTAAGGTAGCTTGAAAATGTTTGTTATTTTGACCTAATATAATCTTTTCCTTTACTACTTTCCATTGGCTCAAAGGTATCCAAAAACGTTGCTGCAGCATGTGTAGGAGCCAAGAATCTACACACCGCCAGCCCATGGCTGCAGAAAACAGGTTAGTATTCGTGTGTTGGCCTATTGCTAAATCAAATAATTTAATTTGATGATATATATAAGCCATCAAGCTTTCTAAATATCCAGGGTAAGACTCCTCTGTATCAAAGTTAACGCTGATCATTCGTTATAGGCACAGCCGAGGTGTCATCCATTCTGGAGGAGAAGATCATGGGAGCTGACACCAGTGCTGATTTGGAGGAGACTGGTCGCGTGCTGTCCATCGGTGACGGTATTGCCAGAGTGTACGGTCTTAGGAACGTACAGGCTGAGGAGATGGTGGAGTTCTCCTCTGGTCTGAAGGTAACAGTGGTGTTATTCTTAGATACTGACCTCTGTACAGAGTAGGCTGCTTCAGCTTCATTGTTTGGAAAGATTTTATTCAAAAGCCCCTGATTATTATTGCTTAACCTCTTGGTTTAAAATTATTTGTACTTAAAGGTAATTGGCAAATCACAATACTCTGAAACTGCTGCAGTATGCCCCTGAGAACAGTAAATGGCCACTACAATATGTTTAGATATACTTTATATAAGTATGTCACTTATTTATCAAACTCAGTACATGTTAGTTATCAAATACAACCCACATGTCATCAGTAATTTAGCCATTTAAATGCAGGGGAGATTGATAATAACTGTACTGTCTTTTAAGGGCATGTCTCTGAATTTGGAGCCTGACAACGTTGGTGTAGTGGTGTTTGGTAACGACAAACTGATCAAGGAGGGCGACGTTGTCAAGAGAACAGGCGCTATTGTCGACGTTCCTGTTGGTGAAGGGCTCCTGGGCCGTGTTGTCGATGCTCTGGGAAACGCCATCGATGGAAAGGTAACGACAGAATTCATTTTTAAGATGGGTCGTCTTTCAGTGTTTCTGAGTAATTACACATGACTACGTCTGATTACTCTTTTCTAAAGATCTATGTTTCAAATTTCAGTTTGAGAAACAAACAAAAATGATAAATCCTCACATTTGTGGATTAGTTGATTATAGTTTACTTTGTAGTTTACAACTTGTTGGCTAACTATTGGTTTAAAGTTTTGCCATATATAAGAATATTGTTGATCGCATTTAATCGCTTTGTCCTTTACTTTTTTCTTCACAGGGCCCCCTCGACTCTAAGGAACGCAGGCGTGTGGGTCTGAAGGCCCCTGGTATCATCCCCCGTATCTCTGTGAGGGAGCCCATGCAGACCGGCATCAAAGCTGTGGACAGTTTGGTGCCCATCGGTCGTGGACAGCGTGAGCTCATCATTGGAGACAGGCAGACTGGGTAAGAGGATCTAATTTTGGGGAATTTAGTCCTTGTAGTTAATTATATAGATGGTTTATTTTTGTAGTTTATTCATTTTTCTCTTACAAATTTCGGATTCATAAAACAATCTAAAAAGACAAAAGGCAAACATGGAGGAAGGTTTGGGTTGTTTCAACAGGGGAACAAGGGAAATGGGAAATAAGGCCCCTCTCTTAGATAAGCCTGTCCCAAAATAAAGGTCTGGCTCTTGTTGTCCCTCATATGAATAAAGACCCAGTTCACTATTGGAGAATTTAAACTGAGAATATTCGGCCCTAAAACACAGGATTAAAAAGCCGCTGTGTACAACATGGATGTGTTTGTCGGTGTTTCCACAGTGCTTAGTCTCTAAATCTGTGCTGCAGCAAAACCGCAATCGCCATCGACACAATCATCAACCAGAAACGCTTCAACGATGGAACTGATGAGAAGAAGAAGCTGTATTGCATCTATGTCGCTATTGGCCAGAAGAGGTCCACAGTGGCTCAGCTGGTGAAGAGGCTCACCGATGCCAACGCCATGCAGTACACCATCGTGGTGTCTGCCACTGCCTCCGATGCCGCCCCACTGCAGTACCTGGCTCCCTACTCTGGCTGCTCCATGGGAGAGTACTTCAGAGACAACGGCAAGCACGCCCTGATCATCTACGACGATCTGTCTAAGCAGGTGATTGTTTGAGTGGATTTTCAGCCCATATAATTGTTGCTTTATATCATTTTCTGAAGGTTTAAATTAGAGCTAAACTCAACCTTGTGCTTTCCTCCTGCAGGCCGTCGCCTACCGTCAGATGTCTCTGCTGCTCCGTCGTCCCCCTGGTCGTGAGGCCTACCCAGGAGATGTTTTCTATTTGCATTCCCGTCTGCTGGAGAGAGCTGCTAAGATGAATGACAACTTCGGCGGTGGCTCCCTCACAGCCCTCCCTGTTATCGAGACACAGGCTGGCGACGTGTCAGCCTACATTCCAACTAATGTCATCTCCATCACAGACGGACAGGTGAGCATCTGATTCATTGTCATATTTTATACACAAGAAAAATCCTGAACCGTTATTTAAACAATGTTTATTCTCTCAGATCTTCTTGGAGACTGAGCTGTTCTACAAGGGTATCCGTCCAGCCATCAACGTCGGTCTGTCTGTGTCACGTGTCGGGTCTGCTGCCCAGACCAGGGCCATGAAGCAGGTCAGACTCACTCGTACGCCCTCATCTCCCAGCTGAGATCACAGGTAACCTCTTTGATTCTGACTTGTTGATTTCTGTCCATCATCAGGTCGCCGGCACCATGAAGCTGGAGCTTGCCCAGTACCGTGAGGTGGCTGCCTTCGCTCAGTTTGGTTCTGACTTGGACGCTGCCACTCAGCAGCTACTGAACCGTGGCGTTCGTCTGACAGAGCTCCTGAAACAGGGGCAGTACTGTGAGTATTAACTGCTCTTTTCAGGGCTGAAGATGAAGAATGTAGTCAGCCTAGAGTTGTCTCTTACTGTGTCTGTTCACTTTTTGTTTCTCAGCTCCCATGGCTATTGAAGAACAGGTTACAGTCATTTATGCTGGTGTGAGGGGTCACCTGGACAAAATGGAGCCAAGCAAGATCACCAAGT